AAAAAAAAAAAAAAAAGAAGGTAAGCGATAGAAGTGAAATGCTGTAGGCCCATTTTTTAATCCCGCATCTGTCCAGTGCTTGCTAGACAGTTGAAGTTTGTAGGTGTAATTCCACACATGTACTTGGCACATGCTGTCAGGAGAGAAGAGTGAATCTCTGGAGAAGGACCTTATGCTAGCAGACTAGAGGGGCAGTGTAAAAGAGGAAGACCTTCAAGGAGATGGCGGCAACAATTGGCTGAAGCATGACAATAATTGTGAGGATGGCGCAGCACTGTTCTGCTCTACATAGGGCCCCTTTGGGGTCGAACTTACTAAAGGGCACCTAACATGTACCATTGCTATCGCCATTGAGGCTGTGGCCCTCCCTCTGGCAATCCTGCCACTTCTGTCTCTCTGGAAGCCACCACAAACAAATTCCTCGAGGTTCCTCATTTGAAAAGTGAGGGATGATAATAAGCCTCCATCTCAGGGAGGGAGTGAGTCGTGAATGAGCGTTGTGCTTATAGAGCATTGTGCTTGTAGAGCATTGTGTTTGTAGAGCGTGTGTTTGTGGAGCATGTGCTTGTAGAGCATTGTGTTTGTGGAGCATGTGCTTGTAGAGCATGTTTGTGGAGCGCTGTGTTTGTGGAACATGTGTTTGTAGAGCGTGTGTTTGTGGAGCATGTGTTTGTGGAGCATGTGTTTGTGGAGCATGTTTGTGGAGCATGTGTTTGTGGAACATGTGTTTGTAGAGCGCTGTGTTTGTGGAGCGTTGTGCTTGTGGAGTACTTTGCTTCTAGAGTTCTTGGAACACAGGAATTGCCCAACAGAAATTCCGGTTTTTATTTTTTTGAATCATTTTATTGGGGGCTCATACAAATCTTATCTCAATCCATCCATCCATCCACTGTGTCAAGCACATTTACATTTATTTCCCTCATCATTCTCAAAACATTTGCTTTCGACTTGAGCCCTTGGTATCAGCTCCTCATTTCCCCCTTCCCTCCCTGCCTGCCTTCCTCCATGAACTCTTGATAATTTATAAATCATTATTATTTTGTCATGTCTTACACTGTCTGACATCTCCCTTCACCCACTTTCTGTTGTTCGTCCCCCAGGGAGGGGGTTATATTTAGATCCTTCTGCAGTTACTATTTCCTGAAAGCAAAGGGAAAGGGCGCCTGTCACACTTGCTGCACCTTGGAACAAGAAAATCTCCTTTCTCCTGATGGCTGAACTCTCCATATCGAGGAGTCACCGGACTGGCTTCCTGCTTCCGGGGGTGGGGGTGGGGTGGGGTGGGGTGCGCTGGGGCGGGCTTGGCCCTCTGTTGTGGGAAAGCAGCCCAAAGTTAGCCAAGCATAGAGGCCTCAGCCAAGGGAGCCGCCTTCCTGGGAGCAGAGGAGCCCAGTTAAAGAGGCGCCAGGTTGCAGGGGTCAAAATCCTCTCGATGGCGGCACAAGAGTGCACATTGTCTTTGTCGCTGCTGCTAGTGGTGCTGGTGGTGGTGGTGGTGGGCAGCTCAGGCAAATTATGGACTGGGAAGGGCACCAGTCAGCAACTGAGGTCCATCTTCCTGGGCCGCTGCCATGACTCCCTAGTGCTGCTCAGTCCGGAGGAGAGGTGAGCAGAGGGGAGAAAGGGACTTAAGGGAACTTGGAGGGCAGGGAGTTGAGGCAGAAGGGTGGGGGTCTGGAAGAACAAGGGCCATCCACAGTTAAGAGGCATGTGTGGTCGAGAGCAAAATGGGGTCTTGGGATGGGATGCATGAATTTGGAGGGGTCAGGCAGGGATCTAGAGGTAAAAGTGTATGTAAAGGGATATTGCCGGGAAGGTGTGTTGACTTATATCACAAAAGGGCTTGCTTGTGATGTGGGACTCTAGAAATCAGAGGTATGTGATGGAGGTGATGGTATGTGTGTGTGTGTGTGTGTATGTATATATATATATATGAAAAGAGAGGGAGAATGGGGTGATGGGGATATCTAAGGGTATGTGTGAGGGTTGAGGGAGGAGCGTGGTATGATCTGGGTCCTGTTGAATGTCAATGCCTCTCCTTAATCTTAACCAGGCCCTTGGGGCCCCAGAATATGTTCTCTGGAATTGTTGGAGTCAAGATATTCCAAAGGTTCCAGTTTCAGGTCCTCTAACCTACAGAAAGACTGAACCCTGGTAATGCAATAGTTAAACAGTATGTTGCTAACCTCCTGGTCAACCACAGTTTGAAACCACCAGTGCTCGTGGGAACTTCTACTCCTATGAAGAGTTACAGCCATAGAAGTCCACAGGGGCAAGTTCTACCCTGTCCTAGACTATCGCTATGAGCTGGCATCCACTTGATGGCAGTGAGTTTGGTTTTTTGAAGTGGGCTAACATATCTATCTCTCACAGTCTGGTGGAATGAGACCACTGACCTTTCGACTGTACTTTATCTACTGAGGATCATCCAGCAACAATGATAGCAGTACATTCACAAGGAGCTGCCAGAGGTTCAAACTAGATTCAGAAGTAGCCTTGGAACAAGGAATATCATTGCTGATGTCAGATCTTGGCTCAAAGCAGAGAATACCAGAAAGATGCTTACGTGTGTTTTATTGACTACGCCACAGCATTTGACAATGTGGAGCACAACAAAAACTGGATTGTGCTTCTGTGGTATTTGGATATGGAACAAGAGGCAGTTGTGCAAAAGAAAGAAGGAATGTTGCATTGTTTAAAATCCAGAAAGGTGTGCAATAGGGGTGTGTTCTCTCTTGATACTTATTCAAACTCTATGCTGAACAAATCATCAACGAATCTGGCTTATATGAAGAAGAGTGTGGCATCAGGAATGGAAGAAGGCTTATTAATAAGTGGTGATTGAAGATGACACACATTGCTGAAAGTGAGGAGGATTTGATGCACTTACTGCTGAATACCAAGGATTGAAGCCTTCAGGAAAGAAGATCAAAATCTTTACAATTGGACCAATAGGTAACATCATGAGAAATGGAGAAAAAAATTGAAGCTGTCAAGGATTTTGTCTTGGATCCACAATCAGTGCTTATGGAAACAGTGGTCAAGACATCAAAAGATGAGTTGCATTAGGTAAATCTGCTGCACAAGACCTCTTTGTTGTTGCTAGGCCCCATCAAGTAGGCTCCAACCCATAGCGACCCTATGCACAAGAGAATGAAGCACTGCCCTGCGCCATCCTCACAACTGTTTCTATGCATGCAGACGCAGCCATTGACGCAGCCACTGGCATTCCATTTCGAGGGCCTGCGGTGCAGAATACCATATGTTGGGTCAGGTACACCTTAGTCCTCAAAGTACCACCCTTGCTCTTCCATACTCTAAAGAGATCTAGGCCAGCAGATTTACCTAGTTCAATAGCTCTTTTGATCTCTTGCCTGCTGCTTCCATGAGCATTGATTGTGGACCAAAGCAAGACAGCATCCTTGATAATTTCAACCTTTTCTCCACTTATCATGATGTAACCTATTGGTCTAGTTGTGAGGATTTTGGTATTCCTTACATTGAGTTGTAATCTGTACTGAAGGCTTCAATCTTGGTCTTTATCAGCAAGTGCTTCTATTTTCCTGACTTTCATCAAACAAGGTTGCATCATTGTTAACAAGGCCTCTTTAGAGCAGTGAAAAGCAAGGATGTTACTTTGAGGACTAAGGTGCACCTGACCTAAGCCATGGTATTTTCAGTTGCTTTATATGCATGAGAAAATTGAACAATGAATAAAGATGGCTGTAGAAGAACAGATGCATTTGAATTGTGATGCTGGAGAAAAATTCTAAAGTACCACGGACTTCTAAAAGGAAAAACCAAACTGTACTGGAAGAAGTAAGGCCAGAGGGCTCCTTAGAGGCAAGAACGGCCAGACTTTGTCTTACATCCTTTGGACATTTTGACAGGAGAGACCCGGCCCTGGAGGAAGGACATTCTATACATTCATATGTAATGAGTCCAGAAAAAGAGGGAGGTCCTCCACGAGTTGGATTGACACCGTAGTTGCATGTTGGGGCTCAGGCACAGGACCAATGGTGAGGACGGCTCAGGACAGGGCAGTGTTTCATTCTGCTGTGCACAGAGTCACTATGGGTCAGAGACAATTCGAGGGCACCTAACAGCAACAACAACAACTTTAAAAATACTGTGCTCCCGGTTCCTCTCCATAAAGATTCTATTGTTGAGTTATTAGGTACCCTGGAGTCTATCCTAACTATAGTGACCCCATGGACAACAGGGCAAAACCACCTGAAACACTCCATCAATGCTATGTGTGAATACATGGTTGCAGTCACTTGTCAATTCATCTCCTTGTTATCCAAGCAAGATGTCCGTCTTCAGGAACCAGTCCATCTTGATAGCATGTCGTTAGTTTGCGAGGCAAAGTTTTGTCATCTTTGCTTCTAAGGAATCACTGGCAAAACTTTCAAGACACATTTGTGTGTTGTTCTAACACACCCTTGTGTACGGCTCATGAAATGTAATCAATTCTGCCTTCCTTGTACATTATCCAGGTTTTACATGCATATGAGATGATTGAAAAATACTCTGTGTTTGGATCAGATGCACATTAGTCCTCAAAGTGAATTCTTTGCTTCGGAACATATTCAAGAGGTCTTTTGCAGTAGATCTGCTCAATGCAACAGTACTTCATTTCATTTATTCTTCTTTTCTCAAATTTCTTTTTTATTGTGTATTGTGGTAAGATTTCTAGAACAGATCACCTTTCCATTCAACAATTCATACACAGTTTGTTTAATCTCATTGACTGCTACCCCCTCAATGAAATGCTACTTATTTCATTCCCTTGCTGTGTTTGTTATTTCTAGCCTTCCTTCGGTCCTCACCCTTCTGAACATTGAGAAATTGCTGTCCTTTTGATCTTAAACAATGGATTCATCTAAGATGTGTGTACGTCCTTAGCCCTATGGTTCTCCTTATTGAGCTGTTTATTTTATTAATTTATAGAAATCATTTTATTGGGGGCTCTTACTGCTCTTATAGGAATTCATACATTAATTGTTTTTAAAACATTTTTATTTTATTGGGGGCTCTTATGGCTCTTGTCACCATCCATACATATATCCATTGTGTCAAACACCTCTGTCATATATCAATTGTATCAAGCGCATTTGTACACATGTTGCCATCAACATTTTCAAAACATTTTCTTTCTGCTTGAGCCCTTGGTATCAGCTCCTTTTTGTCCCTTCCCTTCCTCACCCTCCAATCCTCATGAACTTTTGATAAGTTATAAATTGTTATTATTTACATATTTTATACCATCTGTTGTCTCCCTTCACCCACATTTCTGTAGTTTGCCCCCCCTGGGGGAATGGGGTGGGGTTATACCTCAATCATTGTAATCAGTTCTCCATTTCTCCCCCTTCTCCCCGCGCCTTCCTACTACCTTCATGGATAACATCACTACTCCCATGATGGTTCCTGAGGGCTTTATCTGTCCTGGATTCCACATGCCGATAGCTCTTATATATACTAGTATACATGCTCCCGTCTAGCTGGATTTGTAAAGTAGAACTGGGGTCATGATTGTGAAGTGGGGCTGGTGAGGAAGCATTAAAGAACTTGAGGAATGTTGTGTGTTTCATTGGGGCTATACTGCACCCTGCTGGCTCATCCCTTGCTTGTGACCCTTCTGTCAAGGGATGTCCAATTGTCCACAGATCGCTTTCGGGCTCCATTCAGATCCCCCTTATTCGCATTTGTATGCTTGTTTGTTTTGGGTCATCTGATCTCTATCCCTGATCCTTTTGATACTTTGTGATCACACAGGCTGGTGTGCTTCTTCCATGTGGGCTTTGTTGCTTCCATGCTAGATGGCTGCTTGTTTAATTTCAAGCTTTTAAGACCCCAGATGCTACATCTTTTAATAGCTGGGCACCATCAGCTTGCTTCACCACACTTGCTAATGTATCCAGTTTTTCTTCAGCGATCATGTAGGGAAGGTGAGCATCACAGAATGCCAGGTTATTAGAACAAAGTATTGCATTGAGAGAGTACTTTAGTAGAGGCCCAATGTCCGTCTGCTACTGCTACCTTGATACTTAACATATAAATGTAAGTACATAGACCTATATAGAATATATTCATATATATATATGCCTATATTTATACCTCTATAAATGTCTTTTGCCTCCTAGTTCTTTCTCTATTTCCTTTCACTTTCCTCCTGTACCATTATCATGTTCTACCTTCATTCAGCTCTCAGTAATTCCTCTCGGCTACATTGCACTTCTTCAAACCCCACCAGGTGTTCTATAGCTTCCTCCCCATCGATTTTGAATCTCTTGTCTTTGGGTTTGTTGGCTTGCCTCCTCCATCTTCCTCACCTCCCCCTCTCCCTAGTCCTCCCGGAACCATCAGTTCTGTTATTTTCTCCTGGGGATTGTTTATCTTGCCTGTCTTATATAGATAGAGGTGAGAAGAAGAAGAAGAAGAAGAAGAACCTTTAATTAGTTCCAGGTCTCTCTGCTGAAGCTTATGTATGCTTTCTGATCAAGTCTGATGAGGTGCCAAGTCTGGCCCTCTGAATCTGAAGTCAAATTTCAGGATTCCTCGGGGACTCTGTTGATTTGTTCCCCTTGTTGCTCTGTTGTGCTCCCTTCCTGTTTTTTCCTGGTGTGTGTGTGTGTGTGTGTGTGTGTGTGTGTGTGTGTGTCACACCGGGCACAAGTCCTGCACTGTGTCTCCAGTGCTGTTCCCAGAAATGCTGTGGGTCAGTAAGGGGGCATTGTTTCTCATGACGGGGCCAGCCCTATGGTCCTTTCTGCTCCTTGGCTTCTCTGAGCAGGAGTCTGGTCCCAAGGGCTTGTGAGGCCAGGATGCGGTCCACTCTCTTTCTCTCTCTCTGTTTCCCTCTTATTTTGCTCCCATGTGCTATGGGCAGACCCGTTACTCTCCTGGGGTTATCTTCAGTGCTGTCCTCTGTTGTACAGTCTTCTGGGGAGCCGGTCAACATAGCTAGGATTGGGGCCAGCTCCACAGACCTCTCTGTTAGTTCACTACTTTATGCTTGCATGTTGCCCTAAAGGCTTGTTGTACTGTATGAGGTCTGGTCCCTCTCTCCCTTTCCTGTGGAGAAATAAACAATACTTCCCCTGTGGGTGGGTTAGTGCATTGCTCCCCCACTATCCATTTTCTTTCTTTTTCCCTCCTTTTTAGTAGATTTCCATAAGTATCCCTGGGTTGGGTCTGACTCTGCCAGAATGCCTGAGTGAGTTTATGCATTTAGTGGCTTTTCCCCTAAATCCCTGGTGCTTTTTAAGCTTACCTCAGTGGACTCATGTTGTACTTGTTGTTTTGTGCTTGGCTTATTTCACTTAGCATAATTTCCTCGAACTCTTCCCACGCGATGATGTGCTTCATGCATTCATTACTGCTTTTTAGGGATGTGTAGCACTCCATTGTATGTACCAGAGTTTTTAAATCCTTTTGTCCATTTAAGGAAATTTAAGTTGTTTCCTAGTCTTTGCAACTGGGAACTGCACTGCGAAGAACGTTGGAGCACTGATGTCTGGCTGTAGTCTGTTTCTTCCCTTTTCTGGGTACATGCCCAGTAAGGGGGTTGCTGGGTCATATGGTAGCTTGATTTCCATTTGTTTTACATATCACCAAATCAATTTCTGTAGCAGCTGCACATACCTACTGATCCACCAGCAGTGGATGAGAGTTCCTATCTCATCACACCCCTCCAATACTTGTGCTTTCTGATTTTAAAAAAAATTGTATTTTAAGTTATTTATTTATTTACTTTTGCTTTCTGATTTTTTTGCATCGGGCTATCTTTGAGGGTGTTAGGTGGTATCTCATAGTTGCTTTACTTTGCATTTCCCTATGGCTAATGATCAGGAACATTTTCTCATATGTTTATTGGTCATTTGGTTTTTCACCCTTATGAAATTTCGGTTCAGGTCCTTAGTCCAGGCCCTCAGTGGGCTATTTGTTTTTTTCTTATTTTAGGCTAGCAGAGTATTATAGATTTTAGTCACAAGGCCTTTGTCTGGTGTGTCATTGCTGGGGATGTTTTCCCAGTCTGTGGGCTATCTCAGTACTCTCTTGGCAAATTCTTTCAATGTACACAGGTGTTTTATCTGCAGTATATCCCACTTGTTGAGCTGTTTATTGCTTTGCTGAAAACTTAAATTTTGGGGTTGAATTCCGGTCCACACCTGAAGGGCAAGTACAGGCGATCATTTCAAAGGTTCCACCAATCTCTATGCAACTAGCAGGTCTGGTCTTTTCATGATTTCGATTTTGGCCCACATTTTCCTCTCCCTGTTTCCAGAGTTTGATTTCCTGAGTGTTACTTCTATGAGGATCCAAGTAAAATGAAATCCTTTCTCAGTTCTATCCATTTATCATACTCTTGCTAATTGGTCCAGTGGTGAGGATTTTAATTTTCTTTATGTTGCAGTGCAGCCCATACTGACAGCTATAGTCTCTGATCTTCATCAATAAATGCTTTGAGTCCTCTTCACGTTTAGCAAGCAAGGGTGTATCATCGATTGCAGATAGTTCATGAGTCTTCCTCCATTCTTGAGTCTGTATTCTTCTTTATATAGACAAGCTTCTCAGATTAATTGCTTTATAAACCTTATGGCACAGTGCTCCTGTGCCCGATTGGGTCACTAGGAGTCAGAATGGCCCACCTGGGAAACCACACCTGCCACTCATGCTCTGCAGGAGACTTGGATCTGGCTGAGCTCACACCCTCATGCTGAAATGAAGAGACAACTGAGACTGAGAGTCTTCCTGGCTTACCAGGATGACGACCTTCTAGGACAGTGCCTTTTCTGCTTGTCTTTCTGGGTGCCCCTAACTAAGAAGTCTGTGGAGAGCTTTCTAAGACAGTGTGAGAAGGTCAAATTTAAAAATGGGTTTATTGAGCTGGGTTGTTTTTTTTTTTGGTTTCTTCTATAGAATTTTGGTTATTTCATAAGCCCTGACAATGTGTGGTCTTTTGTAATCACCTTGCTTTACAGAGCAGGAGTGCTCATTGCACAGTGGTTAAGTGAAAGATCGACCATTTGAATCTACTAGTCACCTCACAGGAGAAAGATTCGGCCATCTATAAAGATTGTAAAAATTCTGAATGATTATTCTTTGGATATCCTATGTGACTTTGCTGCACTGTCCTATAGGGTGCCTGTGAGTTGAAATTGATTCAGTGACAATGGGTTTTCAGAGGTTAGGCCTGCAGTCAGCGCATGACTATTGCTTGTTAAACCGATGGATCTTGCTGAGAGAAAGGGAAACACTACACCACACACAGCAATATGAGTTCTCTTTTACCTTGTGTTTTGCACAGAGACAAGAACTGCACAGCCATCTGGGAGGCCTTTAGTGTGGTGCTGGACAAGGACCCCTGCTCTGTGCTTCCCTCTGACTACGACCTTTTTATTAACCTCTCGAGGCACTCTATTCCCAGAGACAAGGTAATGCCATGCACATCCATGTCTCTGCAGTGATCCAGAGCTCCCCGGTTTTGCACTCCACCTAAAAGTTGGCAGTTTAACCCATTCAATGATTCCATGCAGAAAGACCTGGAGATCTGCTCCTATAAAGATAACAGCCCTCGTGATGATGGCAATAAATGCACAAATGCGCTTGACCAATGGATGGATGGATGGATTGCGATAAGAGCTATAAGAGCCCCTGAACAAAATGATTTAAAAAAAAAAAAAAGACAACAGCCCAGAAAACTCAGTGGAGGAGCCTTGTTCTGTAACTCATGGCTCTGCCATGAATGGAACCAACCCCACAGCAATGGATTTGGTAGAGGTTTGATAGAGATATGTGGTGCCTGGATCATACTTGGGGTTAGCTGACCCAGAGAATTATCTCCCCAGCAAGCAACGCAATGTGTGTTCCATCTGTCTGGTGGGGAGGGGACTTCAGATCCCTGTCCTTGTCATCATAGTTGGCTGGAATAGCTCCCCCAAGTGGACAAGGTCATCATCCTGGTAAGCCAGCAAGACACTCAGCTTCAGTTGCCTCTTCATTTGAACATGGATTCATGATCCCCACTTCCCAGACCTCAATACTGAAGGTCAAGGAGTTGAGATGACTTGGTCAGTATCATACATCCATCATCCCAAAGAGCCAGTATTCACACCAGAGTCTCTTAGTCCATTTTAATCAAGGAATATTTCCACAGATATGTGATTCTGGAGGATGTTTTTATTTTCCATCTTGTCATCAATGGAGGAGAGAGGATAGGACTCTCATCATGGTGAATAAAAGACATAACTAAAAGGGTTCATTTGTTGTGCAGCAAATCATCGTTGAGTAGGAAAATGGGGCGCCTGATTTGTCCCCATGTGGTGCCTGAAAAAAGGGTTCTGATTTTATTTTTCATCTGAATTTTGTTTTGTTTTGTTTTCCCTTAGTCCCTGTTCTGGGAAAATAACCACCTACTCGTGGTCAGGTTTGCAGAGAACACCCGTCGCTTCATGCCTCTGAGTGATGTGCTGTACGGCCGGGTGGCAGATTTCTTGAGCTGGTGTCGACAGAAAGTTGCCTCTGGTAAGAAAGGGATGAGGTATCAAGCAGCAAAGAACAAAAAAATCATATCATCATGAATGAGGGGGAGCGTGGGGTGGGGACCCAAGGCCCATCTGCAGAGAACTGGATATCCCTTTGCAGAGGGGTAACGGGAAGGAGATGAGTCACTCAGGGTGCAGTGTAGCATCAAGGAAACACACAACTTTCCTCTAGTTCTTAAATGCTTCCTCCCTCACCGCGCCCCCTCCCCCCCCCACATCATGATCCCAAATCTACCTTGCAAACCTGGTTAGACCAGAGAATGTGCACTGGTGCAGATTAGGAACTGGAAACACAGGGAATCCAGGACAGATTAACCCTTCAGGACCAGTGGTGAGAGTGGCGATACAGGGAGGGTGGAGGGAAGGTGGGGTCGAATGGGGGAACCGATTACAAGGATCTACATATAACTTCCTCCCTGGGGGATGGACGATAGTAAAGTGGGTGAAGGGAGACGTCGGGCATTGTAAGATACAACAAAATAATAATAATTTATAAATTATCAAGGGTTCATGAAGGAGTGGGGAGTGGGGAGGGAGGGGGAAAAAAACAAGGAGCTGATTCCAAGGGCTCAAGTGAATAGCAAATGTTTTGAGAATGATGAGGGCCACAAATGTACAAATGTGCTTGACACAATGGATGTATATATGGATTGTGATAAGAGTTGTATGAACCCCCAATAAAATGATTTAGATAAATAAAAAAGAGAAACCTGTTCATATAAGAAAAGAAAAAAAATCACGGCTTCTATTTATGATGCATTTTTTGAATGTATATTTAATTGCATATATTGTTTTAAAAATGTCCTGTAATTTATCAACCCTTTCTTATGATTTGGGTGAAAGCTTACAGAACAAATTGATTTTTCATTGAACAATTCATACATCTTTTGATTCATGACTGTGATTGCAATTCCCAGAGTGTAACAGCACACATCCCCCTTTCTCCGGTGTTTCATTGTCATTCATCTTTCTCTCTGCCCCTTTCTGCCTTCTGAACTTTACCACTAGGCAAATGCTGCCCTTTTGATCTCCTATGATTGATGGATCTAAAGAGTAGCCCCCTGGTGTGATAGTTCACATAATAGGTTTGTCTATTGTTTGGCTAAGGGCTGACTTCAGTTCCAGACCTGAAGGATATCTAAACGCTATAGTAGTAGGGCCTTCCCCAGTCTCTGTCAAACCAATACCTTTGGTCTTTTAATTTATGTAACCTTTTTATTCATTTATTTCCATTTATATCTTTTGTTTTCCCCCAAATCGTCTTGATGGATGTTTGTTGTTCGTTGGTGTTAGATGTTGTCTAATTGGTTTAAACTCATAATGACCCAATATACAACCTGCCTGATCCTGTACCATCCTCACAATTGTTGTTTGAGCCTTTGTGACAGCTAATGCCAACACTCCTCCTCCTCCTACCATTGACAGTAGAGGATTTCCAGCCAGATAGACTACATAGAACCTCTACATCAACGACGTGAGAGACCCAATGAAAACAATGCTGGTGATAAATTTAGAACTCTGGGCTTTAGTGGAAGGAGAGAGCAGCAAATTGACTATTTACCAACAGGAGAGACTGAACAAAAGTGGTTAGAGAGGCGATAGGAGGGTGAATAATCACTTGGTCTGAAACAGTGCATCCATCTTGAGCTTCTGCAAGCAGCCTTCCACCCAGACAGTGGCTGGCACGGGAATGACTGGCAACAAGGAAAGTGAGATCCTTCTTGTTTCCCTCGCCCTCCTGCTGACTAGAAGTGTAACCAGCACACACTTTCACCCACCTAGTGTCTTGTGACAGCCCCTTTCTGCTTCCCCAGCACCTCCACACAACCCCTGCAGTCTGAGGTCAGAGTCTCACCCTCAGGGATCAGAAGCCAGGAGAACCACCTCTGGGCCTGGATTTGGGAACTTTACCTCTTCTGATCAGCACAAATGTGATCCGTAGCAACCCCTAAATCGATGGGAACTCCTTCCATAGCTAATTCCCCAGCTCCCTGAGGTCTTCAACATGGCACCAACATTCTCACGAGAGCTGGTTGTTTCATTTCTGTTATTCTAGCTTCTCTTTGACCTTCTAATTTGTGCTCTAGGACAAATGTTGATGTTTGGTCTCACATAGATGATTGAATCTATTTGTTAGTTTTGGTACTGTTTTTACATAAAAGGAACACTTTACTCATGAACGATATGGCTTGCTCTGGGAGCCAACTGTTAACTAAACTAATAGTGCTGTCATTTAGGTGCCAGCAATTACTTTCCAATTTTTTTTCCCTGTGAGCATTTGAAGTTGCTTTAAAAAGTTCATGGAAAGATTCCATCATAATTTTAGTCCATTTTGGCATAAATTTTTTGAAGCACCCTCATTGGATCTTCAGTACAGCTCCTACTGAGTGGTATGAGCTACCTCTAAATCAGATGCCTTGATCCCAAACAACACATAATTCTCATCCCCTCCTGTCCATCACACCCCATAAGCTCTTTAGATGGCAGACAGTGGCAACCCACTCTGGGTGCACGGCCCTCCTCCTTTCCCCTCCCCACACTTTCTCCTTTCCCTTCCTTGTTTTTCCCCCTTTATTTCTCTGCTTTCATTTTTCCTTCCCACCTCTACATCAACTTATTTTCCGCTTTATGTTTTTCTTCACTATTTTCTCCCCGCCGCCAATTTTGCCTCTTGTATTTTTATTACCCTGTTCTCTTTTCATTTTCCTTCCTTTTTTTGGTTATCAAATTATTTTTATCTTGCTGTTTTTATTGACTCTTCCTTGTTTATTTTTTATTTATAAATATTGGCCACCATTTCATTTTTTTTTGGTGCACATATGCAAAAATTCTCAATTAAACCCACCAGGAAACAGATGATGAGTGGCTAAGATCTTATTTATTTATTTATAAATCATTTTATTGAGGCTTGTACAACTCTTATCACAATCCATACATACATCCATTGTGTGTCAAGCACATTTGTACATTTGTTGCCTTCATCATTCTCAAAACATTTCCTGGTATCAGCTCCTCATTTTTACCCCTCCCTCCCTGCTGCCCCCTCCCTCATGAACTCTTGATAATTTATAAATTATTATTATTTTGTCATAGATTACACTGTCCTATGGCTCCCTTCATGAGTGGCTAAGATCTTATCAACATAAAATAATCGACTAAATATAATGTGTTGGTGAAAACTGAAGTTCTCAGTTCAAAGAATTAAGATAGAATGGCCCCAATAAGTGGTTAATACACAGAACCAGAAGATCTTTATCAGGAAAAAATGCATTGGAACTACCTAATAAAGATTTAAAAATAAAGACATTTAAATTCCTTTAATGAACTGAGTGAAAGATTAGTGTAGCTGTTGGTTCTATTATGAGATATTTACATATTTACTTGCTTCTAAGTATATCACGACCAAGCAATGTAAGGACCGTCCAATATTAGAAAGCCAATTAATGTAAACCACCACATAAATAAAATAGTGGAAAAGAACCACATGATCATATCATTTAACAGAACCCAATACTTATGTCTATTAAGAAACATCCAAGAAAATAGGGATAAAAGGGAAATTCCTCAGCATAGTAAAGGGCATGTACGCAAAACCAACAGCCAACAGTCCTCGCAGTGGAGGAGAACTGAATGTGTTCTCCGTATAGAGGGAGTCAGGCATGGAGGCTCTTTTTTATTCAACTTCATCCTATGGAGTTGCTTGGCTTTGGAATCCACTTGGTGGCACACACAACACTAGCACTGGAACAGTCTTTGAAATGAGACATGATTCTTTATTTCTTTATTGTTAGGACTTGACTATGAATCCTGCCCTACAGCAGCAGATTGTGAAAACAATCCGGTGGATTCTTACTGGAAAAGAGCATCCATCCAGGTAGTCCTGGGGGGGTGGGGGGCTGCACACAGGTGGGACAGTGAACGTGGGGGAGAGATTTCAGACACTGAGTCATTGTGTCCCTCCTTTACTTCTCTGGGCGTCCCTTTCCCTTTTAATATTATTCAGATTCCTTCTTTCTGCTCTCAAGATTGTGGGGTTTACCGAGGATCTCTGGGGATAAAGAAATTGCAGTCTCTGATGCAGAGAAATTATCTATTGGCTGCTAGTTATAGATGAATATATTAAATAATCATTATTAGAATTACTGGCATTGGGAAACTGTGGCCAAAGACCTCCTTTAAACTCTCTAAAAGCAAGGATGTCTTTTGATGACTAAGATTCACCTGGCCCAAGAGATGGTCTTTTCAATTGCTTCATATGGATGCAAACGTTGGCCAGTGGAAAGGAAGACCCAAGAAGGGTCATTGCATTTGCATTGTGGTGCTGATAGGGAAGATTGAATAAACTAGACTAGTGAACAAAATTGTTTTGAAGAAATTATAGCCAGTGGGTTATGTCAGGCTGTCTAGAGAAACAAATCCAGTGATTCTCATAAGAAAGAGGGTTATATCAAGAAGTGATCACATATCAGAAAGTCCCAGCCTAGCCCAACTCGAACCGGTAAGTCCTCTATTAGTCCAGAAGTCCCTCATTAGGTCCACACAGCCACATAGAATGATGAAAAATGCAGGAAGATCACAGGCCAATAGGTGCAGCATCATGTGGATTTAAGAAGCAACTTGCTTTCTGGAAATGATACTAGTTTGTGTCTCTATTGGCTGTAGGTGGAAAATACCCAAATGGATCACATCCTTGCTTATTAGGAAACAAAACAAAGCAGCAATAGCAAAAGATATTCTGCTCATTTCATAGGTGATAAATGGCGTGCTTTAATTTCCTCAACATTCTCATTTGTCTTTGCAGTATGCCAGGGATAGTTCTGGAATAATGCAGGTCATGCTGAATGGCTCACATCCCAATGGAGCATATCCAGTCCCGAGGTATAATCACTAACACTAATAAGCACAAAATACTTACATCATTATTTTGAATGGATCCTAGAGAGAATCATCTGATGCTCAGTGAGTTGTCTTGGCTATCTAGAACAGTTTCACCAGTTAAACACATCAAGCTTTATTTTCTCATGATTTAGGAGGCCAGACGAAGCCTGAATTCAGCATGTTGGAGCTACGGGAAAGCATTTTCCCTATATTGGCTTGGGGGCTGTCCTTGTCTCCTGGTTCCTTGGAGATCCCCAAGTGACTGTGTGTGCTTAGTCTGCTTCTCTTAGATTATGTAAGAGATAGACTCAAGATACAGTCTACACTAATCCTGATTCATTAGTATAACTAAGACAACCCCTTCCCAAGTGTGATCGTAACTACAGGCTTAGAGGTTACCATTTACAACACCACACACACACACACACACAGAAACACATAGTTTTTGGAGCACTAATCTAAATATTGCTTTTATTAATTCAGGTAAAGCAAAACAGTTGAATGAGCTGGTAATCAGAGCCATCGTGTCTATACAGCTACATGGTCAGTGCTTGATACATGCACAAGTGAAAATAAGTAGTCTAAAGATTAAAAACAAAGCAAAAAAAAAAAATTCCCCAAAGCAACCAACCAAACAAACTTAAGAGCTTTCCCCGCCCACTGCCACCATAGCTATGTTGGTTTAAAATGCACATATCTCGCACTTCCATAGTTAAATTGCTTTTAAAAAGTCGCATATACACCATCACAATTCTTTCTAGTGTGCTCGCCCCCACTCCAGTATGCATTCTTCCTCAATTCCTCTCAGCCTCCAGGGCCCATCCCTGATAAACTATTACAGAAGTCATTGTCTCCAGAATCAGCTTTTTCTGGGGCTCATAAAGTGGGCAACAAAAGCAGAAACAATAAAAGGAAAAACAAAACAAAACTTTAAAACAAGAACAAAAGAAAGAAAAAGAAAAAACAAAACACCAGAAAGAAAAGGCAATCCTACTGGCAATATTAAGATAAGCCAATGAGAAAACATCTGTCTTGGAAAAGCAAGAAATATTTAATCATAGAACTAATTCAGAATAGGTCAAGAGGGAGGTCAACTGACCCGACGTCATATTATAGTGCCATCCACCGTAATAAAGTTGACAATAAGTTGTGTCTGAGAATCAAGCTGTTCTAGTCCCTTGACTGTGACCACAGGAGATCGGCCAGAGCCTTGGTCCAAATAAGTACTCTGACAGTGAATTCTGGGTTTCTATTTTACAGGAATGTTTAATAAATTTACAACTGAAATAGAGGTAAACAAACAACCCCCAGCATCTCACTGCATCAGGACTTTAAGGAATAATTTCCTGGTTTCTCAGTTTTTTTGCAGACTATGAAATTCCATTCCTCCAGAAGGATAAAATCACACGAATTGAGATCTGGGTGATGCATGAAATTGGGGGACCCAATGTGTAAGTACTGGTGCTGTTGGTGATGAGTAATTGGGCAGATATGATTTTTGTGGGGGGTGTATCAGATACCTGCACTCATTTTGCATCTGAAACTTAGGGGCAATGGAAGTCTTCACTCTTTCTGAAATGGAGGGTAGAGATTGTCTGAGATGTCACTAACTGGTCCTGAGCCCAGAGAAAAAACCTTCTCCTTTAAATAGGATGCTCCACCCTGCCAGGGAAAATGATGCTCCTTCCTGAGTGGCACCAGAAAGTTGGGTGAAGCAAGTGCATCCATTCAGATCTAAGCCAGTTTCTCCTGCTGGTGATTTGAAACTCAAAGGCCTACCTCACTAAGGGCTCCCAGCATTGACCCAGGACTCTGTGATGAAGACATTGTTCTTGGAGATCAATCAGCTCTACAACTGGACTCTCAGATAACTGACCAAGGACACTTTCAGGATCCACATATTTGGGGGGAACATTTGTTTTTTTTGGGGGGGTTAACACTATCATTGCTAGGCTCCCTCAAGTCGGTTCTGACTCATAGTGAACCTATGGACTCATAGCACAACACAGGAAACACTGCTTGGTTCTGAAGCATGCCCACAATTGTTCTTCAGCCGAGCTTATTTGTGCAACTACTGTGTCCATCAGTAGGACCTTTATCTTTTTGATGCCCTTCCACCTTACCAAGCATGATGTCCCTCTGCAGGGACTTGTCTCTCCTGACAACATATCCAAAGCATGTAGGATCAGGGTTCCCCATCCTTGTCTCTAAGGAGCACTAACCACCTCTTCGAGCACAGATGGGTTTGTCCTTTGGGCCGTCCATTGTACTCGCGATAGTCTTCAGTGTCACAGTTCAAATGTGTCAATTCTTCTTTGGTCCTCCTTCCGTTCTACTTCCCAAGTAGAACATCATTTTTGGTCAAGGAGTGGGCCAGTGGGAAAGAGGAAGGCCCTCAAGGGGATACATGGATTGACCCTGTGGGTCCTGCAATGGGCTCAAGCATAGGAACAATTGTGAGAATGGCACAGAACTAGCAATGCTTTCCTGGCTTCTCAGTGTGTTGTTCTGTTGTGCATAGGATCACTGTGGGTCAGAGCTAACGTCATGGTACCTAAGAACAACAGACAAGGTGCCTTGGAATCACACACACACACGCACATGAACAAAAGCAATGCAGGATGCAAAATACACTGGGCAGTGTCTCCCTGTTTTTGTTTTTTAAGTTTTGTGTAAATAAATATAAAACTGATGCCCTGAAGAGACAGATCACCATGACGGCAGCAGGTCCACCCCAGTGTTGGGAAATGTGGGGTTAATTCTGCTTTTTCTCTGGTTTCCTGGTGTTTTCCAAAGCTGTAGAAAGTGTATGTTTCGGTGGTTATTTAGAGATTAATGTGACCGCAACATGTGCAGCACCAGGTGGCACTTAGTATTTTGCCCTCACAGGTGACGACCCCTCAGGGGTGTGTGCTATGTGAGGAGGGTGGGTATAGGCAGAACTTCGCTCAGTGGGGTTGGCAGCTCCCCAGCCAGGTTCCTTCCCATGGGCATGGTCTCTAGACATCAGATGCAACCATCGCCTGGAGCAGGAGGGGCTACCGAGGAGCAGTCTCTGTTTCTATGTGCTTTCAGGGAATCCTGTGGCGAAGGCACTGTGAAAATCCTGGAAAATCGGCTGAAGGACATGGGTTTCCAGTTCAGCTGTATAAATGATTACCTGTAAGTGGCATCTGACCACCAATGGGGCCAGTCAGAGGGGGGCTGGTGCTTTCCGGGGTGGGTATCCGTGGTACAAGTGGCAGTTTGAGTTCATCTGGAAGAGCCTGGGAAGAAAAGCTTTGGCAAAGCCTGTGAGCACCGTTCTACTCTGCCACACGGGGTCACCCTGAGTCAAACCCAAACCCACACCCAGCTCACTGGGATGTTGCTGGGTGTCAGCTCTCAAGAGCACAGGACAGTGACTTCCAGCTTGCCAAGGTGTTGGGGCAGGGAATGTCTATGGCTAGGGCTCTGACTGCCTCCCATCCCCACATCAGCTCACACCAGAGTAATTATCCTGGCAGTGAAAGGTCAAGTGGAGAGGCTGATATCACTGGGGGTCTGTCTGGCTTCCCCCTCCCCCTGCATTCTGCAGACCGAGTAACCTGAGAACAGGGTCTGTGTCTCATGGGACTCTGGACTCTGCCCCCTCTGGGTCTTCTGTCCTCGACCAGTGCTTTAAACTCTGCATGAGCGTTTCTTTGAGATATTTGCAGATAGATATTATGATGATAGTCAGAATAATGCATAGGACAGGTGCCACTGTAATGTTTCTCACCTGCACAAGTTAGTGTTCCGGTTACATTAGTCACACTATGCCCCTGTCACCAGTGTCCCCTGCCAAACTCTCCACCACCATCAACAGAAACTAACTGCTTCCTTATGTTGTTCCCTTCCACCCGCCCACCCTGGTAACCATGAGTGAGCTGGGGGTTCTATACCGTAACCTGTTCTGGATCTCTCACTAGAGTGAGATCACACAGCATTGGTTTTTGGGTGGTGGGCACACTTGGCCCAGAACAATGAGATCACAGTGTATCCCTGTTGTCACCTGCCTGTGGATATCATTTTCCCTTAAGCCTGGGGAGTACTCCCATGTGGTTATAGGCACATTTCCCCACTTCACTCATTGGTGTGCTGGTCGCCTGTGAGGTTATGTCTACCCTTGTGTCATTGAAAGCACCAGGATTGGAGTTAAAAACAAATTTTTTTAAGCCCAATGATGAAGGAAAACTGTGGCTAAGAATTCTAATTTCTGAGCACTTGGCCTCAGTTTAGGGTCTCCCCTAATGGGACTATCTTTTGGTAAGTTGTTGCGTCAAATCCAAGGTCTCCTCTTCCTGACAGCTGTCTTGAGATTACACAGATTTATCTGAGGCCTTTCTAAGAGCTTTAGAAGGAGGTCTGGTAGCGCAGTGGGTTAACCACTGGGCTGCTAACTAAAGGATGATGGGTCCAAACACAGGTACTACTGTACAGGAGAAAGATGAGACCATCCACTCCTGTAGAGGTCTACAGTTTCGGAAAGCCTACAGGGTCCTGACGAGTCAGAACTGATGGTGGCAGTGGGTTTGGATTTGTTGTAGGAATGCTAGTGGGGCAACAGGGCTGCTAACTGAGAGGCTGGTGGGCCTCACTGTCAAGGCACCCAGTGGCTACACAGGAGAAAGGGTTGGTGATCTCCTGCTATACAGAGGCCGGGCAAGTGGTCACTACGGGGGACTTCCACACTCACAGAGCCCTGTGGAAAGCACAGACAATGGAAGCAATGTGGTTCCTGAAGCTAGCCCCTAGGACACTTCTCTTCCAGACCTGCCCCCTCTTCTCCAACCCCCCATTCCTCATGTCTTCATTGTTCACAGGCTGTTTTGGTGACAAGGTGGGGGTGGAGGACTGCTCCTGGGCAGGAGAGAGGAGACACCAAAAGGGATGGACATGGGGAAGGGAGAGGGTTAAGAAATCCACCTGAAGCTCAAGGACGGTGCTTGGTTTTAGTGTTGTTCTAGGGCACCTCGAGGGGATAACCAGTGGGGGAGAGAGCAAGACCAAGGCTCACAAATCTCTCTCCCCGCCCCACCCTTTGCCAAGATGTACGTGAGCTTGCGCCACCTCCTCAGAACCCAGGCACTGCTCTCTGCTGTGCGCAGCTCTCGGAGTCTCCCCAAGATTCTCTTGGGGTTCTGAAAGACTGATGGTTCAGAGCCATCCAGAAGCACCCGAAGAGAAAGGCCTGAGGACTGGCTTCAGAGAGGCCACAGCCAAGAATACCCCGCGGAGTGCAGTCCTCCTCGGAACACAGGGGTGGGCGATGATCTGAACGCACATGAAAAAAGGGTCTCTTTCCAATAGCCTCCTTTGCTTCATTTCCGGCCAGCACTGTCTTGAAGTAGACTCTGAATGTCAATGCCTTTCTGCAATACATGACAACACACAAAGCTCATAAAAATATACAGGTAGAATAGATTTTAGAGGAGGTGTCTTTGTTGGAAAAGAATATTGCACATACCATGGACTGAGCGAAGAATGAACAAAGCTGTCTTGGAGGAAGTAGACAGAACAGAATGCTCCTTAGAAAAGAGGACGCCAAGACTTTATCTCATATACCCTGGCCATGTTATCAGGAAAGACCAGTCACTGGAGAAGGACATCTTGATTTGTGAAGTAGCAGGTCAGTGAGCAAGAGGAAGAACTTCAACGAGATGGATTGGCACAGTGGCTGCCACAATGGGTTCAACATTGGAATGCGTGTGAGGATGGCACTGAACGGGGCACTGTTTGTTCTGCTGCACACAGGGTAGCCATATGTAGGAACCAACGTGACTGCAGCTAACAGCAACACATTGCCCAGGAAATTAGGTGAACTCAAGGAGAGGTCACAAAGCATGCCAGAGAACAGTCAAC